AAAAGTACTTTAAACTGTATAAATAATGTAAAATTAAATTGATTTAAACAGCCAATCATACGAATGTCTGCCTATGACAAACCACCGCAGTATACTGAAAATACTTAATCTTCGGATTAAAAGCCTGCTACATTAGAGTATAGGATAGATTGTATTGGTTTTAGTGTACAGTACATTATTCCTCCAAGATTAGTCTTTACGCCTGTGCAACCATACATCCGTCCTATTCTGTCCAGAACCATATCACATTTCTGAGCTAAGACCCTAGCATCACCACCCTAAAAAAAAATTTCGCTACCAGCGTTAGGGTTAAGTTTGGGGGTATTTCTGATTTGACTTTATGTCCTGATATAGATTTTAATTTGGCCCGATATGGAATTTTTTTTAGGGTAGTGACGCTAAGGTGGCTTTTCAGAGCGCAGTGCTTTTCTTGAAATATATTTCATTATTACTTATTTAGACAAATAAACTTGCTTATTAAATAAATAAAATTCAAAATGGTAATTTGTACTTTATATAATAAAAGGACCCTGGAATTTGTGCATATAATACCTTACCTAAAAGATTTGTTATACCGTTTAGTGCATTTACGATTTAACCTTAGAGAAATTGCAAGTTACGAACTTTCAAATATAATTATGGCTTCTGATTCTATTCTAAGCAACAATACAACAGCTGATAACGCTGCGAAAATTACTTTTACAACTTTTACTGATATCGCAGCCCTCTATTTGCCTGTAATCGGCACGGTAAAACTCCTAGTTAATGAAATTTTTTTAATTTGTAATGCAGCAGAATGTAATAAAGAAATTTGTTTTGTAATGAAAAACCGAGTAAAAATAGCAGAATGTTCTATAGAGAAAATAGAAAGAAATATAGAGACCGAGAAGGAGTTTCGTGAAAAATCATATTATTTAGCTTTTGATAGATTTCAAAAAATTTTATCGAAGATTAAAGATTTTACTAAGGATGTATCAAATCTTAAAGGTTTTAAAAGATTTATTAATGCACAGGATGTTAAAGAGAGGTTTGAAAATTTAAAAAAAGAATTTGATGATTGTATGAATCAACTACATTTTGCTATCGTTGTTGATAGTATGGTTGATCAAAAAGAAGAAGATGAAAAAATCGATCAAGAACTAAAAGAGATGAATTTTAGCAGTAAAAGGAGATGGGTTTTAAGGTGGGAAGATGGGTTTGACGTGATAATTATTTTAGTTTTATTGTTTTGGAGGTTCAGCTTAATTAATGCGTCATATGGTTGGCGTATATAACATGTAATAATTAAATAGTAATTCGGGGTTTTTAATTTTGGCCCAATTCCAAAAATGCTCCCGAGTGACTTACATTGCCTTTATTTTTTTAAATTCTATTTTCTAGTACTATAGCATGCTAATTTACTATAGTACTTAAGTCTATCCTTTTAATACACGGATAATTCTGGAGATATTTCATGGAATCACGACTTTAAACATGACTTACTCTTCTCTTCTTTTTCTTTTAATAATAAAAACTTAAGTGGATTCTAAACCTACCGGGATTTTGTTATTACAGTACATATAACGTATGTACTATTTGATTTAGTTATTGATAGTATTTACTTAAACGCCAGTAGCATAATTTTAGCATTTTTTGCATAACTTTAAAATATTTACTAAACTACAATGTAGTTGGTATAGCATAATTTACATCTTCTTTCTAACAACCCAGTACTCAGGTTGGCAAACTATTTCTCTTAAATAGGAATGTGATTTTGCTCAAACTGGTTAGTTCATGCTTCGAAACCCGGACGAAAATTGTTGCGAAGCACATACAGAATTTGGGTTCCAAATTCTGATTATGCTTGCATGAATATGTTTGTTTATACATATTCATTAGAATATGTATTTAAATTTAATTTGCATAACGATAATTTTATTTATTTAATTAAAAACATCATATAATTTAAAGTTTCAGATCATGGAGGTTTTTCCCGTAAGATCGACTTCGAAATCGATTCGAGCACACTGAGTTTCATTTCACATAACTAAATTCACATGATTAAAAACTCGTGTTCAACTAGTTCGGGTTTCCAACTGGGCCGAACAGAGTTCAGATAAGTAAGATTACATCCTTACTCTTAAATAGCCCTTAGTATATAGTTTATTGTTTTAAATTACTAGTTGTTAGAATTAGTCTTTATGGTAACACTATCAAAAAGCAGGTTATTTTATTTGAGATTTCTAAATAGACTTCAGTCTGAGTATAAAAATTTGATATTTTTTACTATTTCTAACGCCAAGTTATAGTTACCACCTTAAAATTTTGCAAGAATTAAAATAATCCAAAAATCGGTCGTGGCTCAGAACCTATGCAACCAGCTTCCGTGCACTAACAAAAGTTTTCTTGCGAAATTTTTGTAAGTATTTCGAACCTTAAGCTTTATTTTATAACCTAGCCAGCTCAATTTTTGTAAATCTTTGAAAATAAAATAATACATTTTATGTAATATTACGTCAGAATTCAATGCTAATTCTTGAATTATTTGATAAGCATTAGGATTAGTATTGCTTGCAGCAGCATATTAATTGCAACTTCTTTATAGCGCAATTAGGGTTGCAACACTTGCAATTTTTTAAATATAAAAATTGACGATAGACCGCAAATTATAAAAATGTCATAATATCACATAATCACATATAATATCGTAAAAATAAATTATGTAATATTACAAATCTAATATGGGTGCTGCCAAGGGAAAAATGAGACCTCGTAAATTTAAATTTATCAGACTTAGCTCATATCTGTCACATATCGGATTTTCAAGAATTAAATCTGATAAATTATAAATTCCAGAAGTCTTGGCAGCACTCATATATAAACTAAATTTTAAATTATGCGTACGTAATCTACATTACAAAGATAACATTAAGTTTGATATGCATTTTATTAATAACAATAAGTACATAACTTTGATATTGTGTGCCTACAATCTTACATCTTTTTGCAGCAAAAGAGGGTTCGCACCAGGGCTAAAACGACATATAGTAAATTCCGGTCATTCAAAGTGTCATCCTTGATGCATGATTATTGCGATCAAAGAACAATAGTAAGATAAGCAAATTTTATTAGTTATTTAATGCTATTTTTTTTTTCATTGCCGCCGATTCTGTCCAACTAAAATTTTAAATACAGCCCTAAAAATTTAAATTATGTATGTTTTTTTAATACTCCAATATACTGATACATAATTGTTTAAAAATGTACCCTAAAATTAAATATCATATTTCTGGAGTGTGAACAGAATCGGCGGCAATGTAATATATTACTTTTAATTTAGATAGATCAAAAACGACATTTTGGATGACCGGAATTTACTATATGTCGTTTTAGCCCTGGTTCGCAAAGGTTGCACTAATGCTAAAGAGGCACAGTCATCTCTAATTGGGATTTAAATAAATCTACTGATTATTTAAATATAGCTGGTCCTTCCACAAGCATGGTGAAGGTTTGTTTTGATTGGTTGTTTAATTTCTATTGAAAAACACGTTACACAAATTTTTTATATTGTTTATAATAGAATTTTTAACTTGAAATTGGCAAAAAAAAATTTTGCTTAAAGCTATCTAAAATTTTGTAGGTTCATATATTGAAAGTATATTTTTCATAATAACGTTTTGGATCCAGTGGGATCCAGCAGTCCACCAACTTTTATTAGAAGCGATTCTGTCAATATAAGTATGTAACACAAAGCTATTACATTAATTTGGTTTGTTTTTTTAAACGAAACAACTAATAAAATCAGTACTTTTTTCGATTTGAAAGTTTGAACTTCACGTGAGCAAGTCGTTGAAAGCAAAGATGATCGAAGTTATCAATCGGTTTTACCAAAAACTGCAATCAAGAAGTACAAGGAGTAACGTGAAGTTGATCTCTGATTTAGCCAATCAAAAGTCTTGCTGATTAACCAATGAAATCAAACTTGACTCATGCTCCTTTCACAGGCTTCTCAAATAACAGAAAATTTCTTATGAACATAAAAAAAGGCTTTTTTACATGCGCATAATATAGCTTTTATAAGTATATTCATTTTTCAGTTATAAGAAATGTGATAATATCTGATACAGAGGTTATTATAACAATAAGTTCATTAATAAATTCTTCATTACATAAAGAAAAAGAATTTTAACAAATCATATAACATCATATAAAACAAATTAATGTCCATCAATTCATTTATTTTTCTCCTTCAAGGAACTTTTTCGTGGACTCCCACCTCTAAGATACCATTTCTTGAAAATGAATCTAATAGTCTTATAAACACCATATACAAGACTACTAATCAACGCTATACTAATAATCACAGCAGCACCAAATACATCCAAATACTTTCCCCTAATAGTTCCCATTCTTGAATAGGGAGTGATCCAATGCCTTAATAAGGCTTCATTATCTACCTCCAGTTCACCATACTCATTTCTAACACCTTCACGTTTTGCCAAATTCATAACTATATCAATTAAATCGGCAGCTCTATACTTTCTTTTACTATTAAATTTTGCCAACACTTGCATTCTCTCTGCATTCATTTTAAAACTACTTTCGTTCATTAATCTTATAACTTTCGATACTATATCATCAACTTTTAGATCGAGTTTTGAGAGTTTTAAAGCCATACCAGTAAGTTCCAATTTTTCGGCATTTCCGGCTTGATCAAACGCTATTGGAAGTACTAACATTGGTGTAGCTGTATACATAGATTCATGACTACTACCTACACCACCATGACTTAAAAATATTTTGGTGTTCTCATGAGAAAGTATTGCCAATTGAGGTGCGTACTTTATGATATAAACATGTGGGTATAAATTATCTAAAAGATTTGAAGTGGGTATAGTATCACCGGTAGAGAGAGTAAATGAGGAAGGCAGTTCTGATTCATTAAATTGTACAGTTGTCCAAATCACACCATCAAGAATATTCTGATTGATTAATTCAAGAGCAGACTGTAACATAATGGCATAATTTTTGGGTGTAGTGTATACAATAGTCCCAAGAGCAATATACATAGTTCTAGAATGTGTAGAAAGAAATTGATCGAGATCTGAAGATAAATTTGGAAATGTATCAGGTAAAATGGGACCAATTTCTTGATGAATTGGAGGCCAGTCGGCTGGGACCTATAATAAAGACAATAGAAATAAATTAATAAAAAGCTTTTTAGTAAAACAAGCTAAAGAAAACGAAATAC